GCGGGGCTCGATCCCACGACCCTGGTATCATGACCTGAGCCGAAGGCAGACGCTTAACGACTGAGCCACCCAGGCGCCCCTCCATCCAGTTTAAAAGCAATCACTGCCTTCAATATTACTAGGTTCTCGGAAAGTTTTGCACAAATCTGGTTTTAACCCACAGCCTCCAAAGATGGGTTGACCTCTGGTTTTACCTGCGCCATGGTATGAAGCTGTTGCTTTGGCGTCCCCAGCGCAGGATGAGATGGCAGTGTGATTCTTGTGGTTACATCCCGTGACTGTGCAGGACGCTGAATACTAATTGCTGCAGACGGTGGATGCTGGATAGACAAAGTTGGCCGGCTGAAATAGACAGAAAAGACATGATTTCTCACTTGTCTCTAAACACAATGCAGGCAGTCCAGGCCATTTACTATCTTGTACTAGACCATCATCATACGGCTGTAGTTTTAGGTCTGTGACATCCATAGGTGAACCAATGAAGTAAATGGCCTGTCAAGTTTCTCTTCTGTAAGTCCCATAAACCTATTTCCAAAGGTATCAATATGCGCCATGAACTGAATCAATTAATCCTTAGTCATTTTCAGCACTCTCAGCATAGTTAACCAACACCCTAGGACAATCTTGAGTAAGCATTATTATAATCAATACACTTCACTCTGTGGACAAAGCTGGAGATACACACTCAGGTTTTCACATTACGAGGCAGGATTACAGACAACCCTGATTAACAGTAGCCCACCCCATTGCCCCCAAAGCACTAACCTGCTCTCAATTTCCTATCATTCCTTACCATATGATTCCTTCAAAAGTTAGCTATGATTGTCTAATGATTGAAAGAGATATCAACACAGAAACCATGTCAAATTAACTGGCAGCAAGCTACTGGAATTGCAGCAGTGGCAAGAAAACTTGACATTATAACAAAGTTGGCTTCTCAAGTCAGAGGGGGAAGAATGGACTATTTAATAAATGATGTTGGGAAGACTATGTAGCCCTTTGAAAAAAATAAAATTGGATCCATGCTTCATGCATTACTATGCCAGGATAAGTAAGAGGAGGATCGAAGATTTTACAGCAAATTAAAAAGTACATGAAGAAAATACAGAAGAATTCTTTTATAACCTCAGAATGGATGAGAGCTTTTTAACTACTGAAAGCTTTCAAAATCCAAAAACTACAGAAGATCAAAAAATTTACTCTGTGAACAAATAAGCAAACCTACACAGCAAAACACACAAACACACTATAAGCATGGTCAAAAGACTCAAACTAAAGTGTAATCCTCTTAATATACTAGGAGCTCCTTGCAGTCAATGAGAAAAATAACAGCCCAATAAAAAGCAAAGGATATACATAGTCAGTTCACTAAAGAGAAAACACAAGTGTCTCTTTAACAAAGAAATGATGCTCACTCCCACTCACAGGAAGAGAAATACAATTTAAAATACACGGAGATATCACTGTTCACCTATCAGATTGGCAAAAACCCCCCAAATGGACAGCATAATGTTGTTCAAGCTGCAAGGAAATAGGCACTTCTAAACATTCTGGAAGGAGTGCGAACTGGTATAAACCCTAAGGAAGGTAATTAGTAGGTATTGAAATTATAACTGCATATACCTTCTGATTACTTTTGGGAATTTATCCTACAGGTATTCTTGCACACATAGATAATGACTGAAGCATAAGGTTATTCACTGCAATATTACTTATGATAGTCAAGTACGAGAAACCACCTCAAACCCATTCACACATACAATGGATCACTGTGCTGGTACTAAGAGAACAATGAGGCTGTCTAAGTAATGAAATAGGAAACTTTCAATACATGTTGTTATATTTAAAGAAAGTAAAGAGAATGTATGAGTTAATTTTGGGTAGAAAGGATAAAAATAAGAACTGTATTTGAATCTGACTATATTAACACTGGAACGACATCCAGTTAGTTATTATCAGGTAACTTAGAAAAGGTAAAAGGGAAGGAACCAGGATCCTGGTGGATGGGGGACAGAGGAGAGAGTGACACTCCCTACACATCTTTTTATGCTTTTATATTTTGAAACCATGTGAATACAAATTAAAAAGAAGTGAATAAGCTGAGCTTGTAAGGGTATAAACTTTGAGACCGCATGTTTCTAAACTAAGCAATGGTTTCATCATAAACATCCTCTTTCAAATGCTTTAAAAACAGGACAGGGTATCTGTGAATAAAATGTTCAAACTGAATGAAGGATGGTTTTCTCTCTGAAGAAAGAGAGCTAAAGGCTTTATCATTTGAGTTCAAAGGAAAGCTGAAAAACTGGCCACGGATACAACTATGGAACTTGGTGGAACTCACTGAGGAGAAAGCCTACTACTGGAGACTGGATCTTTATGCTTTCCAGGATGAGCCATTTCCCCAGACCCATTCCCTATGTTCACCCAAAATGTAAAGGACCCCAAAAGATTTCCTTAAGTGACTCTCATGTTCTCAAGCCATAAAAAACCTAGAAACCTAAAAACCTGGATAATCCTAAAAAGTCCTTGGGTCATTCTTTTTAAGCCTTTCTATTATGCCTCTTCCACTAGTCATTTTTAAAAGGCTGGGAACGAGGAATGGATGTTCTCTGGTAATTTAAATGACCACTTTGAGATTTTGTTTAGGTTTCATTCTCTCCCCACATTATGGCAGAATCCACTTTTTATTATGAATAACATAGCCCAAAAGTTACATCCAGAAACACAAAGAAGAAAAATACAAGCTCTGTGGCTATTCCACAGTTAGCCTTATCAGTCACCGCCAGGGCAGCAGCACACTGGTAAGATGCCTGGACTAGGTTAGCCGGTACGTGGTAGGCCAATTCTGACCAGGACCTCCACTATCACACTGAGAGTTCAAGTACCTCTGTGGCTCCTGAAATTACTGAAGATGACCATTACACCAGTTGTCGTGGGAGTTCAAATGCATGGTGCAGCGTCAAGTGTTTGGTACAATCCCTGCGGAATCAGCCTGAGGATATTACTCTTGATGGGGCAAGTGGAGACGCAGACCTTGCTCAAAGTAACAGGATTCTGAACACCACTGGTCCAGTCAGTGAATAATAATTAGGACTTTGTTTTGCAGCCTGGCTTCTTCCCTGTATGGCTTTCACACCCTCCTGAAAGGTGACTTTAGAATAACATGAGAAGAATGATATTTGCCGACATAGACCACCTGCATAAACTCGTCACTGCAACTATCAGGATGTCTCTGCAGCTTTAACAGATAAAAACCCATTTTGGAGACTGGAGTTTTAATAGTTGACAATGTACTACGCTAAGCACAGTGCCATGTAAGACACCTGCTCCCAGCATTTATGATGAAAACCATTCAGAGAGATATATGTATATATAATTAAAATAATGACAAAATTTAGGACAGATGAACTTAATTATAAAAATAATTTTGAAGAATCTCATAACGAAGAATAATGTCAACATTCAAATCACCAGGAAAGGGTCTCCTCAATTCACCTTAAACATACTCATATTTAAAAGGTCTGGGTCATAAAAAAAATAGCCAGAAAAGAATATTTATATTAAGTATTTAAATACGTTTTTAAGTGCTTTTGAAAGCACAGACTATAGTACATGGTAGTCTTTGACTTTCATTTACTCTTAATGGAAAAAAAAAAAACCACGAACATGTCTATAAGGTACATTACATGTTAGGCATATTTTAATTCCTTTACATATATTAATATAAGCACTCCTTATAATGACCTGTGAGGTAGGTAGTATTATTGCCATTTTCTTTTCCCCCCCAGATTTATTTAAGAGAGAGAGAGAGACAGAAAACACGTGCATGAGCCGGGGAGGAGCAGAGGGAGAGGGAGTATCCTCAAGCAGACTCCCTGTTGAGTGTGGAGCCCAACATAAGGCTTGATTCCAGGAATGTGAGATCATGACCTGAGCCAAAATCAAGAGTTGGACACTCAACTGACTGAGCCACCCAGGCACCCCGATTATTGCCATTTCTAGGTGACGAAACTGAGGCATTTACTCTTTGGCCTAGCACTCCCACTTCCACAGATCTTGAAAATACACCATCACAAATACGCAACAGCACATGCTGAAATGTCCATCAGTACATCCATAAGCTGGGGTACAACACAGCTAAAAATAAAGAGAATAAATATCTCTATGTACTGATCTGGATCATCACCAGAATATATTAAGAGAAAAATACAATATGTGTATTTTCTTTGAAAGTTACGTTTTTTGTTTTTGTTTTTTTTTAAGATTTTTATTTATTTGAGAGAGAGAGAGAGCCAGAGAGCAAGCACAAGCAGGGGGAGAAGGAGAGGGTGAGGGAGAAGCAGGCTCCCTGCTGAGCAGGGAGCCCACCATGGGACTGGATCCCAGGACCCTGGGATCACGACCTGAGCTGAAGGCAGACACTTAACCGACTGAGCCACCCAGGAGCGCCCCAGCTTGCTATATCTGAGGGACAGAGAGGAGAGTGATATTCCTCACTGTATACCTTTTTGTATATTTTTATTTTGGAAATATGTGAATGTAAATTAAATAACAGAAAATGTTACTACATATCCCACAGAGAAAACGATCACTTCAAGTGACCTCCGAATATATTCTCACTCCGTTTTGTGGGATCTAGTTTGAACACAAAAGAACAGGGAGGAAGTCTCAAACTTCACACTCAGTCTTATTGTTAGTTTAATCTACAGAAAATAAGGGGTTGATTTAAGACATGTGAACTTGGGACTCTGAATTGTTACTTTGAAACTTTTTTTTTTTACATTATGGACCAAAAAACCAAGTAGTTATGTTAATGTCTTGACAGAAGATTTGCAGTGTAAGAGAAAAGATGTATAAATATAAAACTGAAGAAAGAAAAAAACCTGTAATGTTAAATTTCATTTGGAAATATCAGTATGAAGACATGACTGTTTACTGTATTGATTACCTCTGTCCACAGAAAGAGCCCAAAAGCAATGATAACCCGGGAGCAATGTATACCCTTAGCACCCAGATCTTGTGTTCTAATTACCATTCTCCACTAAAAAGAACCAAGAATTGTTGGAGAAATGGCTGATTTCAAGACTAGAGAGGCAGAAAAATAAAAAAGGGCCTAATTTATCATGTACCAAAAAGTAGAAAGTACTCAAAGTCCAAGAGGAGTATCAAAATGACACTCAAACCAGTTTGAAGGGGTTCTCACTAGCTGAATCTGGGGCAACTGGGAAAAAAAAGGATTTTCATTAAAATACACTGAGTAAATAAAACACCCCTGAGTCCATAGTGGCAACTCACCCCTACACAAAAAAGATCAGAGATTAAGCAGCGTCACTCAGCTAGAAAGTGCTCCCACATCTGTTGTCTTAATCAATATACCCCTTCTCCTAGTGATGAGATTTTCTTTAATGGTCTCAAAGGCTGCTCTAGGGACAGAGACCCAATTTAGAAACTTGACACAGAAAACATGGGGTTAATTTGCAATGAGTGAACCCGTGACCATCCTCCAGTGTTGAGCTGGATCTTTGTTTGACTTCTTTAAAGTGAGGACAAGAAGTATTGCAGGCAGAGACTGCAGGTTTGGGATTTTCTCCTCCTCTCAGAGAATAGTAACAAAACAAAGAGGAATGCAGTCTCCATCTTTGGCAACATTAAGAGACACCTGAAACCTCAAACCACAGAAGAGGTAGCAGAACTGCCAAGGGCAGTGATACCCAAACAGCGACACAGGAGTCAATGCACACAGGATCTCTGCAGCTACAAGTTAAGGGACAAATCCAGTCAAGTATAATTCTCCAAAGTGAGGAGTGCACTCTGACACAGAAAACCAAAAACTTGTGTTTGTAACAGTAGGAGCTGTCAGTGAAGCAGGACCTAGACATGGATCAGTTCAAGTATCCAATAATCAATGACATAGGGCTGAACTAAGAACCACACATATGGATAAGCGCCATGTGAAAAACAGCATGTGGTGAGGGGTGCCTGGCAGGCTCAGCGGGTAGAGCATGTGATTCTTGATCTCAGGGTCATGAGTTCAAGCCCCATGTTGGGCGTAGAGCTTACTTTAAACAAACAAACAAACCACACACACACACACAAAAGACCCCAGCATGTGGTGAGACCCAAAGAAAAGAGAAATTGCCATCTGGGGCAGTCTATCTTCACTGGCAGGAGAGAAGTACAACCAAGAAAACACGAACAGAGTATCCTGAGTCATTAGGAAAATTTCCCCTAAGCCAGTACACAGCCCAGCCTACAAGAACCAATTACAAATAGCTGATGCAGAATAAGTTCAACTCCACTCAAAGATGAGTACTCAGAAAGCAACCAGCATAAGATCTATTTCATGATGCTACAAGAAAAATGGTGGACAGAAAAAGGGGAATTTTACTAGAAAGGCTTTCACTAAGTAGATGAAAATTGTACCATGAATGAAGAAACGTAATGAAATAAGTCCTTCCACAAAATGAAAACACAAAGCAAAGATGTAAGAGCTCACTGGACAAAAGGATAAGACAACAGGAGACAGGCATGGATCAATAAATAGGCATAGCTCAAGACAGAAACAGAAGAAAATATCCAGCTGCGTCAGGAATGAAGGCAAAACTAAAAGTAGAGCATGACAGACAATACTGGAAACTCAGTAAGAAAGAGAAGACTGTGAGAAAATTAAGCAGAATCAAAAGGGAAAAAATTAATAAAGCTTAGATAAGGAAGTCGTGCAAAAAAGATTCAACAAATACGTAACTGGGTGCCCCCCTCACTAAAATGGAACAGAATGAACATACAAAGATACAATTCAATAAAACGGTTCATAAATAGTTTCATGTTGCAGATTAAAAAGGTACACCATGTTTCAGAACAAAACGATACATAATGGTCACTACAAAACACATCCCAGGAAAGTCACTGAAATTCAAAGATAAAGAATCTTAGGCAATCAGGCAAAAATATCAAGATCCTTTTAAGGGATTAAAAAAAAATCAGGCTGGCCTCAGACTTCTGTACATTATCCAGTTCTAGAAGGCAGAGGAAAAACAGCGATAAAATACTCACAGAAAAAAATACAGAAACCAAAAGAATTATCACCTAAACTACTGCTTAAGTATAATGTTACCTGCAAAATGATTTTGAATATGTGAAAATGCAAAATACTGGTCCTCTAAGTCCTTCTTGAAGAAAGTAGCAGAGAATAAATTTCATTCAACCAAGCAATGAACAACAAGAAATGTTAAAAAAAAAACCTGGCACACAGGATTACTCTATTTAACATAAAGAGTAAGACCACTTTTTTTTTTTTTTTGTAACCTTCCTTCATTTCTATGCCTTGAACCAATTTAATTAATATTGGTTTCTCTGGTCTTTGAGAGTTTGGTAGAATTCAATGAAACTGTCTGGGCCTGGTGCTTTTCGAAGATACTACTTTGAAATTTTTTTCTATTTCTCCAGTGGAAATTGGTCTATTTAAACTTCCTGGCTCCAGAATTCAAAGGGAGCTAGATATTAGAAATTTATCACTGTTAATAGATTTAACTAGAAAAATCATCTGGTCATTAGGGTTTCTGTCTGTTTAATTCACTAGTGTATTTCTAGTGCCCAGAGCAGTGACTGCCACAACGCTGAAAAGACATCTGACAAAATTCAACATCTGTTTTTACTAAAAACTCAATACACTGGAAAAGACAGATAACTTTGATAACATGGTTTAAAAAAAATTAACTCATTTTCACTGTATACACATTCATAACTTTTGAATTTCTTCATACCATCTGAATATATACAGGTAATATAAAATTAAAACAAACAACACAGTCTACTTTATTTTGGGCAGTTGTGTCTCTTTGTACCTCAGGCAATATTTTCAATTACCAGAAAGTGTCCTTATTTTACTGAAGAGGAGACTAAGGAGCAGGAAAGTTGAGAAACTTGCCTAATGTCACACAGCTAGTGAATGACAGAGCTAATGGTTAAATATAAGTCCTAGGTACACTTCTGCATATAAAAGTTAACTTTCTTCAGAGTTCCGTTCCAGGCCCTCTTCTTATTCATTCCCCCTGGAGAGACTCAGATTACCTCAAAGCTTTAACTGTAGCCCACAGGTTGATGACTTCCAAACCCATTCATTATCTCTGGCACCAACATCTCTTCAATCACCTGCTGACAACTGCCACTTGATTGTTCCATGGATAAACTCAGTATCCTGAAAGTCAACATTCTTTCTAAAACTCACTTTCTTTCCCTTGTTTCCTTTTTATTTACTTGGTCAAACAAGGAAGAAACCAGGGAGGCATCTAGACTTACCACTCTGCCCTGTCTCCAACTGGCAATTGAGAGTTATGGATGGTCTCTGGTCTGACAGCTTTAGTCTCCACGCCTACTACCCCTTCTTCTGTTCAGTGAATGTCTTCTTGTTTATATTGCCAAAGGCACCACATAACCAAACACATGAATCAAAAAAGACCTCCTGGTGAGACTCACATCCCACTGTCTCCCCCCAACTTTCACAGCCTTACCACAATATGGCTTGGGATCAGAAGGACAAACATGTCTTCACCCAATTGTGTCATTTCTAGGAAGCATCACAGATCACTCCTTCATCAGCCAGACTATCCCTGTATGGCTCTATGGTTCTCTCCCTTTTCAGATACCCAACCCTTCTGTTGCAGCCTCTGAACTTAAAGTCCGTTTAGCAAAATCCCCTACATCCTCAATCTCTTCCCTGAATATATCCTTTACCTCCCTTCCCTAATGAATCTGGGTTCTCCCCTGAGAACACTGCTTCCCCCTCCAGCCCTCTCATCCAGGAGACATTTTTTCTCTCATAAACCTCTTCCCTATCTATACAGTCTTCCTAAATAATCTCCTTCATAACTCTCCCCTGGACTCCAAACTCATCTATTAACCGATCTCATCATCTCTACTTGCGTGCTCAGAAGTCAGCACAACCTTCCAATGCCCAAAACTAGTTTGGAATTCCTCCCCAAAACCTACTCTTCCCACTGTCCCTCATATCAAGTTACTTGATATGAGGATTTCAGAAGAATTACGTAGGGGCAGTGAGAGAACAACCTGACTCCTCTTGTTCTCCCACTGCCCCTATGTAATTCCTCTGAAATCCTCAGCCAACTTCAAAACTCTATTCTGAATCTAACCATGTCTTGCCACCTCCAGCAATGATCTCTTCTGGATTCCTACATACCTTTCTAAACCATCTCTCCAATTCCAACTTTGCCTCTCCAAAGTAGCCAGGCTTCAGACCATCACGCTGCTCTGCTCAAAATTCTGCTAAGCCTTCCCGTTGCACCCCAGCAAAGTCTAAACCTGTAGAGGGCTTCTGAAGGCCCGAATCTGGAGACCCTGTTACCTCCTAAAATAATCTCTTGCCGCTCTCCTACCATTAGTCTCTTGCTTCTCCTTACTATGGCAAACACACTCCTGTCTTGGGGCCTTTACACTTATTGTTCCCACTGCTTAGAATGCTCTTTTTTTTTTTTTTTAAAGATTTTATTTATTTGAGAGAGAGAGAATGAGAGAGAGCACATGAGAGGGGGGAGGGTCAGAGGGAGAAGCAGACTTCCTGCCGAGCAGGGAACCTGATGCGGGACTCGATCCAGGGACTCCAGGATCATGACCTGAGCTGAAGGCAGTCGCTTAACCAACTGAGCCACCCAGGCACCCTGCTTAGAATGCTCTTATCCCACACAGCCACATGGCTCACTTCAATACATCTTTCAATTTTCTGCTCCAATCTATTCTTAACAACAGTGCTCCCAGATCACCGTACAGGAAATAGTAAGCCTGTACTGCCTAACCTGTCACTCCAAATCCCACCCTATCTAATTTTTCCCCAAAGCACTTTTCACCATCTAAAAAACTTCATTTTTCATTTGTATGTCTCCAGCAACAGGCTTTATCTCCAGCATCTAGAACACTACACAGCTCATAAAAAGCGCTCAATAAGGATTTACCGAATTAAATGAAAGGAAAGGAAAAAGGGAAAGGAGGAGGGCCTGATCTCCAAACCCCCAAATATACCTAAGTGCTGAATCAGTAGCATGTGCTGCAGTTGTAGTAATGACTGGAGACTGAGCTCTGGTGGCTGAGACAGTTGCTACCACAGCAGGAGGGATGGTATTAGAGGTGGTCACAGGTGGACGAGACTGCCAAGAGAAGAGAAAAAATATTTCATTTAAAACAAGAAGCAAAATAAAATACATTAAGCCAAACAATGAAAGTATAATTTGAAACTTGGGCCTTCAAACAAGCATGTTTGTGTCCAAATGAAAGCAAATTCTCACCATTCTGATTAAGGAATTCTCTTTTCAGATAGGTAATTTTAACACCCAAGAGACAGAATTACCAAAAATTATCCTATTTTGGCTGGATGGACTATATAAATTCCTCCTTTCCAAGTAGGACTGGATGAAACATTTTGTCCTATTAGTAGGAGTTGGGATCCAACCCTTCAGATCTAGAGTGCCCACAGATTTGTTGGTCTTGGTGTAGACATTTTACACTACCACACAACCAAGTGCTTTCCACAGGGGGATCTAAGCCGTCGGATGGAACTGCTGGCTCTCAGTCCCTCTAAGCCAGCAAACACATGAAAACAGCACTTGCCTGCGGAAGATTCAGGGTGCCCAGATGTTCTCTGGCTGTTTTCACATGGAAGTACTTCCCGTACCTTCCCCTATACTACATCTGTGTGTAAAATCTTCACCAAACGAGTTCTCCACCCTGGGCTTCACCTGCCTGTCCACCATCGATTCTTTCCATCATCTGAGCTCTCCTGAGTAGTCCCTTTCTTGACCCTGATACACACAGTTAAATTCGCAAATGCTGCCCATTCTGGATCTACCTCTCACTTCCAGACCTTTTACCTGTTGTGCCTGCTGTTACAGCTTGTTGTCGCACAGTAGGATCGTCACACTATCTTCAGTGAACTCCTTGTCCTGGTTCTTTCTCTAATCTCTTCTGTATACCATTTACACTCCAGGGGCCTAATGAGTCTCCAAATGTGTTTTATTAGCCAGCAAGGTCTCTTATTTTGTTTTAAATTGAAAACTCTATGCTGGACATGTACTACCCTGTGTCCTACTCAGCACCCTTCCTTATTGTCTTAAATACTGCTGTTCCACATACATTACCAGTCTGGCCCCCAAAAGTATCTGAATTTTCATCTCCTGTCTGTGATTCAGCTCATTAATCTTTCAAGGGTATTTCTTTGATCGTACGTTACTGTGTTCAAAAAACTTAGTGGCTCTCTGTTGTGTACAAAATCAAATTTATACTCTGTATCTTAGAGCTCTGAATTTAGAGACATTACAATGTCACATCATAACACACTGTATCTCAGTAGTACTGAGCTCACAGATTTCCTTGAAAAAAAGTTGAAAGGCACAGACCGTCTTCCTTGAAAAGCATGCACACGTGCATAACGTGCACAGAATACGCAGGGGCTCATAAATCCTGGTCTGAATGAAAAACTCTCAGTTCTGGCTCGCCTCTACTAAACCCTGTACGTAACCACCACCATTCACAGTACTGCTCCCTTTCACTGCCTCTCCACTTCTCTGAATCCCTGTTACCACACCCATCCCAGCAAAAGCTTCCCTTACCACAGCTCCTCTAAATCCCGACGGCTGATCACATCACAATGTATAGAACTCAACTTTCCCGGCCGCCTCTTGGCAACTACATCAAAAGCCACTTGAGGTCAAAGGACTCTCCCAGGCTCTAGCAGAGTCAAGAACTGAGTAGGCACCTAGTACTTGCGAGCTGACTACCCACAACCTGACGTGCCTGGATTGGTTGGTGAATGATGTGCTGTACTGCTGGCTGAGCCGTAGCAGCGTTTGGCAACTGGGAAGTCGGCCTCAGGACTGTGGTTACTTTAGAACTGGACATCACAGCAGCAGCAGCTGCTCCTGGAAAAAAATTGTTTGCATTAGTATGGCGTAGGGGCTCACAGTTTACACGGTTCCAATTATATGCCCTAGGAAAATAGTGTGAATTGTTTCTAAACCTCGGTAAGTCAGTAATTTAGCAGAGATGCTGTATGTGTATTTCCCTTCCCTCACGCAGAAAATTAGAAAAATGTGCACTCAGTTGTGATTTGATAAGATTAATAACTGGTCTTGCTTTTTCAAGGACATTCTTAAATGAAACCGGCTGTTGTTTTTTTTCACTACAAGTATGTAGAAGAGAAGCACACACTGAATAGCAGAGCGTGGTGCCACCACCTTCATTTGGGCCAAGGCTCCAGCAGCGTAACCACCAGGGAGGGTTCATTTGAACCACCACTGCCTTTGTATTATCAGCGCGAACATCAACACGGTACGACAGGCAAATGAAATCTTAGTATTTTCATGAAAGTAGTTTTGACCTAACACAGACCCCCTTGCAGTCTATGAACTTCACTCTGAGAACGACTGAATTATGTTACGACCAAGTAAACCTGGTTTTGTACTTGTGAGCCTGATTTTGCCAACAATGATTTAACACTCGCCAATAGAAGGCTACAATTTCTGATCAAGTAGTTGAGAAAACTCATTAAATTTAACACGTGACAACCTATTAGAACTTAATTATAAGAATAAATTCATCTTATGGCTGTGTTACTCGAGTAACCATCATCACTAAACTTTAAGAATAGTCAGTATTTGTATTTCTGACTTTCTCATTAACAACAAAGACCATTATGGACTATCACAGCTTTGAGGAGTTCCTCATTACAAAGGACAATCTTTAGATCCTACTAAAAATTTGAATTGCTTTAAGTTTACACACACATCATACACACGCTTGTTGAAATGCAACTATGATTCGCATATACTAGATCACACTTAAAATGTGTATTGTTCTAAGTTTATTTCTGTTGTCCTGTAACTTTAATAAGATGATTCCAGATACATTTTTTGTTAACGGTAACAGAAATCTCTTACCAAATACGTATCTGCCACAGCACTTTGAGAATTTGAACAGAATGCGCAATTTTTACCTCGAGGTAAATGAGAAGCTCCAATGTGAAGAGGGGGCCCAGGAGCGTTGCTGCGGATAATAGACATCTGTACATTTGTGGTCATGATGTGATGCAGGTTACTGGGATGTCCCTGCAAGAAACAGGATGTAATATTATTTTCATGTGCTTGGTTTTAGCCATTGACGCTTAGCCACTGCTTCTAGGAGGTCAGTTGCCTCCAAATGTGGGTCAGGGTATTCCTTTTAGACAGTGAGTATCCCCAGGGAAAGGACATTTCGCTTTTTTTTTTTACACAACATACTGCATGATGACCTGTGCCAGCAGGCATGTGGTGACTGTGAGGACCCTTCAATGCCTCAAGCCTAGCTAGGTGCTAGATCTCTAATAGATGGACACATTTGACTGTCCACTTTGGGACACTCTCATCTTCAGTATTAGTTTTTCACACTTGTTTTCTCTGCCTTGGCCAAAAGCTTATTTTTTCCTATCCTATTTTCTTTACATGCCACTGCATTCCTTTATGCTATGCAGGACTTCTAAGTAAATGTCAATTAGTACCTAGCAGGTACTCCCCTACGAGTTCTTCAGCTCCCCGCTTAGCTGTCCCTTCCTCACATGCTCCCAGCCCTGACGCCAGTGTTTCCCAGGTGGGGGTTCCAGTACTGCTGGGAGTACTCAGCAGTAAGATAGAAGAAAGAAAACATAGTGTGTCTTCTTGGAATACCAATTTTTTCTTGAAAACTTGAAGGGAAAGGTTTTAGATTCAGGTTTTTTCACTCTCAGTAATTCAAAATATTTAAGTAAATCACATACACGTTACGGAGTAGGAGTAGAATTTCAGGAAAAAATTTAAGTTAAAACATGAGACTATGAATAAGTGTTCACGACTGGTGAGCTGCTTGAGGGAACCTCCTAGGCGCCCAAGAGATACACATTCATTCTCCTCAGAGAAAATCCTAGAAATGCACTACTGTCATGAGGCTATTCTCAATCCCACACAACTGGACTCTGAGCACCTCAAGGATACAGAATGTCTTATCTATATTTGTATCTCACACTGAGGGTGGTGCCTCACACACAGCAGATGCTCGATACATACTGGCCAAATGACAAACACCACTGTGCATGTTGGTTTTACTTCCTGCAGATATCCTTCTCTCTCAAACCTACTATCTTCCCCTTCCAGATATCAGTGACCATTTAATTTTTTATTTAGTACAGTGCCTAATGTACTGCTGGCATTCAATAAATAATGATCAACAGTTTGGCATCTCAGTTTGAAAATCAGCAAATTAAGAGGAAAAAAACCTGTTGTCCACTGATTGTTGCCACAGGAATGGCTGAAGCTTGAGGGATGCTACTCTCCATGGTAACGGTAACCTGCCCTGGAACCTTGGGGGGAAGTGACAAGGTAGAAGGTGGAGCAGGAGCAATGGGACGGCTAGGCATGGTGGGCTTCGGGGGCGGCTGCAAACAGAAAACCACACGAAACATATCAATAGCTTTTTACGAGTGATGCATTTCATTCTATAGTTAAGAGTACACAAATCAAACCTGGAGAGTGCCAGGAAAGATCCAGAAGCCTTATATATTTTATCTCTTAGCATCACAGCTTTTCCACTGAAGTACCAGCATTTCCATTTTACAGATGAGGAAACATACAAAGCAAGGCTATGTCACCTGCTCAAAGCCATTCAGACAGTAAAAACTGGAACTGGGACAGAGGCCCAGATCTGCATGGCTCACAGCCCACATTCTTTCTTCTATACAATGCTGCATCCCACATTTGGGCGGAAGTAAACAAAACTCCCAGTAACTGAACCATAGCCACGAGGTAATATACAAGGCAATATTCTCAGATATCCCCGAATTAGCAAGCTTTAAAACAAAACCTTGGAGAAGAGTGCCACTCCAAGATAAAATTGAGTTAGCATGCCCATAACTTGAATAAAATCAACGTCAAAACGGATACTAGAAAAGATCCTGTGATGCCAACTGCCCAGCAGCACAAGACTAGGCACTGCAGAACAGCAGAGCTCTAAGTGACAGAGAAGAGCTGAACTGATGGGTCAAAAAGAAAACACTAAGATCCTGGATACAGCCTAAGACTTTGTGAAAATTGTCAGGAAGATTAGCCAGTCTTTAGCTGTGGTTTAATGTGAAATTTTAAACCTCTCCATTACCTTCATAAGTCCCTCGGAAAAGGAGAGTGGCACTGCTGGCGTCAGATGTGCTGGTGGGGCTGTCACTGTGACGGGTGTGCCCGATGCAACAGCATGGTGTGTAGACAACATCTGCACCTGTGGATAGGGCCTTACCACAACAGGCTCTTGCTTCTCTTCGCGGGACTGTAGGGAGCTGCTGGAACCCATGTGCTCCCTGGCAGTGACTTCAGCCTCTCGACTAGATTCATCGTTGACTAGTAAGGATATTAAGGGAGAAACAGCATGTCATACGCTTCCAATATTAATATTAATGAAAGGCACAGCACACACAAGAGTGGCACTTGCAACTAAGTTTCAGGGTTGATAAAGTGACCCTTTCCTTGTGAGATTTTCTTCAGGAGAATCTGGGCATGAGGTTCCCCTAACAGATATCAAACCCAAGAGCCACACCTATGGAACACAGGACTGACTTTGGCTATTGCGACTTTTCCACTCCTATGAACAAAGGGCCTGATAACTACCTAAAATGAACTCAAGGGGCGCCTGGATGGCTCAGTTGGTTAAGGGTCTGCCTTCGACTCAGGTCACGATCTTGGGGTCCCAGGATCAAGCCCCACGTTGTGGTCCCTGCTCAGCGGGGAGCCTGCTTCTCTCTCCTCCTCTGCTCTTCCCCTTGCTTGTGCTCTCTCTCAAATAAATCAATAATCTTTAAAAAAAAAAAAATGAATTCAGAAGAGCAAAACTAGATATGATGCTTTCATTTAAGGTATTTATTTAAAAAGTTATAAAAACCTAACATTAAAACAATAATTTAAATACAATTCTTTTTTTTTTAAATTTTACTTATTTACTTGAGAGAGAGAGAAAGAGCGCACGCATGTGCACGACTAGGGGTAGGGGCATAGGGAGAGGGAGAAGCAGATTCCCCACTGAGTGTGGAGCCTGATGTGGGGGGCTTGACCCAAGGACCCCAAGCCAAAGTCAGACAGTTAACCAGCCTAGTCACCTAGATGCGCCTAAATACAATTCTTAAGTCTAAGAATTACCCATTTTACTGTTAATAGGTTTTCAAAACAAATTTCCTACAAAGCAAACATGGAAATCTCCATCATTATTACAATGCACACAGCCTTTGAAACTCAACAATTCCACTTATAGGTATGTATCCTATAGATATATGGCGTATGTATAAAATGACTTGTGTACAAGATTATTTGTTTCCCCATTTTTATTCCAGTAAAGGAAGTTTTAAAACCTACACGTCTATCAACAGGGGACTCACTATATAAATTATGGTATACTCCCACAAGAGACTACCATGCAACTATAAGAATAAAACAAGGAAGCTTTTTAGGTACTCTCATGAAAAAACTGATAGTGAGCATTATGCAAAAATATCTGAGAATATATAGATGAAAAAAGCAAGGTACAGAACAGTGAAAAAGTAATGAAATATACACAAACATATATGTGTTTATTTTCCTATGTAGAAACATAACTCCCAAAGCATCTTCATTTCTTGACAGGAAATAAAGTGGATTCTGGGGTAACAGGGGTAAGAGAAATACTTTTCACTGTATACTCTGGGAATTCTGAACCATGAAAACATGTAACCTATTTAAAAACTAACTTAAAAAATCAAGGACCTGGGGCGCCTGGGTGGCTCAGTTGGTTAAGCGACTGCCTTCAGCTCAGGTCATGATCCTGGAGTCCCGGGATCGAGTCCCACGTCGGGCTCCCTGCTCAGCAGGGAGTCTGCTTCTCTCTCTGACCCTCCCCCCTCTCATGCTCTCTATCTCATTCTTTCTCTCAAATAAATAAATAAAATCTTTAAAAAAAAAAAAACAAAAACAAGGACCTAATCTAGTAAAAGAGAGTTTGTGAAAATATTATCTCATACGTGTCTATCATTTCCCCAAAATAATATTAGAAAATAGAGATTACACTTACGTAAAAAATTTTAAGTATCTGTAAAACTACAAAGAAAATAAAGATGCTCCCAAAGTCTAACCAAGAGTTAATACGTTGGTAAAACCTTGAGACATTTCTTACCTCTTTAATTTTGGGTGGGTTTTTATTTATGCAACTTTTCAGTGAACTATAACCTTCATGAAGTGCACAAATGTTAATTGTATAGCTCAACGAACTTACACAAACTGAATACACCTGAGTAACCAGCACCCAGCTCAAGATGCAAAACATTCCCCAGAAGCCCTCTGTTCAGCTGGATTCCTCAATATCCCTTCTAAGGATACTCACTATCCTAACCCCTAGCACCACAGATTACTGTTATCTATTTCTGAACTTTATATAAATAGACTCATTGCAAATGTACCCTGTTTGTATCTTGCTTCTTTCACTTACAAGTATGAGATCCATGAATGTCATTGCATGTAGCTGCACATCTTTCATTGTCAGTATAGTAGGTCATTGTGGGAATCAACTACAAATTACCCATTTTACTGTTAATAGGCATTTAGATAGTTTTCAGCTTTTTGCTATTATGAGTAGTAGTGCTAGTAATACTCCCACAAATCTTTTGGTGAACTATTTACCATTTCTCTTGGATATATACCCAGAAGTGAAATTGCTGAGTATTACTGAATATATACTACCTCATTAAAAAAATGCTAAATGAAATTCCATTGCATAGATATACTATAGCTTTTTGTTTTTTTTTTTTAAGTAGGTCCCACGCCCAGCATTGAGGCCAGCGTGGGGCTTGAACTCACGACCCAGAGATTAAGACCTGAGCTGAGATCAAGAGACGGACGCTTAACCAACTAAGCCACCCAGGCACCCCAACTATAGCTTTTTTTAACCATTATATCACCAGCGGGCTTTTAGGTTATTTCTAAATTTTTTGCTATTATCAACAACTCAGATAAAAACCTGTACGTACTTTGAGTCCTTGTTCAATGATTTCCTCAGGAAAAAAAATTTTTGAAAATACATGTGCTGGGTGAAAAGACTGATCTAGATTTTACATTTTGTTATATATTGATTATTCTCCCTGATCATTCAGATTTTTTTTAAATTTTTATTTTTATTTATTTATTTTATTTTATTTTTTTTAAAGATTTTATTTATTT